AGAATGTTTTAACTGTAGCAGCTACAGGAACCCAGAAAGAGCCAGTGTGTGGTGTACAGAGCAATTTGAGAACCTCTGCACAACAGGCTTAATGCAAACATCAGACACAGCCTGCAGGCAGTGGTCATTAGAGCAGCAGACCTAGGAGCATGCCAAAAGACACACACACTGATTTTTAGCATTTGTTTACTATCCCAGGTGGAGCAATCACTCTTTGGAAACCCCCTCTGCCTTTGCCAGGGGCACCCAAGCCACAGGAAATAGAATCGTACCTGTGTGTGTTTCTTGCTGAACAGTAGCTCACCTGTGCAAGCACCTAGCTCTTAAGAAGCTTTTTGTTTTGATGTAGCTCCATGTCAAAGGGTCCTGCTAACATACACATACACATGCTTCAAATCATAGCTGTCATCAAATGTGCAGAGCACTGGGACAAAAGTGTGCGCAGGCTTGGATTAGCAAAGAGGACAATAGTTAGCTCTTTCTCAGAATAAGAAGAAGAAGCTACCTTCCCTTAGTGCAAGGACTGTCCAGGGAGGAAGTCTGAGTCAGCTGTCACTAGTTAATTCCCTCAGCACACAGTAGAAAGGTCTGTTGTCTCCATAGTTCTTAGAAGCTGCCTGAAAACCTTTGAGTGGGAGCAAGAAGGGTAAAGGACCACCTGACAAAGCCTATGAGGACTCTTTAGATGCAGCTGAATGTAAATTGTTTTTGAGGGGAGGTTCTGATTGAGCTCCACACAATTCAGATGGACCCTTTGGCTGGACTTCCAAGACATTTGGGTATAAATCAAGAAACCTGACTGTTGTCCATTTGACTTGCATCTATCTATCCCTAACATCCCTCTATCAGAGCCATTTGGTGGCTCCTCAAAAATGAATATGGTGTTATCCCAGTTCCCAGAAGTGAGGTATGGCTGGATCATGAGCATCCCCACGCCTGTAGGCATCATTTGTGGGGAGACTTGTGGGGCTCAAGCCTATGCTGAATATCTGAGTCAATAGAAGACAAAAGTCTTCCAGACTTCTGAGGGATGGGCAAGTACCATTTCCACTGTACAGTTAGATTAACCAGAAAGCCAGAAACCCACCTCCAGGAAGCAGTCCTCCTCTAGGCTTCTGAGAAGGAAGTTAAGAAAATAGATATACTGGAACATCTGCCTAGGTTGTCTCCAAGGCTTAGAAAGGCCCAAATTTCTAGTATCCTGTTCTATGCAGATTCGTTATACCATGCTTTCCGCTCTAGTATTGGAATTCCTTCAGTGATATGTTAAACAAATGTGAGTCGCTACTGTTAAGTGTTGTTTTGATGTCTCATCTTCCCCCCCCCACCCCGGAAGAGGGACGGTAAGCCTCTTAGAGCCTGCTTGTTTTGATGTCTCATCTCCCCCCCCTAGGAAGAGGGACGGTAAGCCTTTTAGAGCCTGCTTTCTTGTGGTGGGAGTTCTTTTAAATCTGCATGTCATGATCTTACTTTAGAGAAGGCAAGATCTAAGAAATGTGCCTTGCACTTGGAGCAGAAGGTGGTGAAGTCTGTGACTGTTCTTGGTTTCAGTGGAAGTTCATTGTATAGTCCCAGACTGGTCCTAACAAAGCTCAGTCTCCTGCATGAATGAGCTATTTTCTTGTGGTGGAGGGTGCATTGCATCAGGAGAGAGTTGTTGACTGTAGTCTTTGTCCTGGAGCCTCAGTCCATCTTTTAGGTGTTCTGGGCCCAGACCACAGAGTACCCTGAAGATATGGAGTGCTTAGAGACAACTTCAGGTTATAGGTAGATATAAACCAATTTAACTGTTGTTGAAAGCCCTCTGCATCCCTCAGTAGATGGTGGATATATTTGCTCCATCAAGGAGTACAATGTCATGAATTGGTGCAATATTTCTTAGCTGGCCAGTTCCTGTTTCCCTTCTGATTTCCAAGAAGTGCTCTTTATTCAGTGAAAGCGTTCATAATCACTGTGATCGCTCTTGTCTGTGGTTCCCCGGAGCTAAATAGTTCTTGCCTTGAAAGAAGACAAAAACCCCAAATAATGTAAGCATGGGATGGCTGGAAGATCCAGAATTGGAAATGTCTGGTGGTTGATTGTGTATTGTAGTTACCCATTGCCTGTCAGTAGTTTGGTTTGTGTTTAGCTTATCTTCAGGGATGCGGAGTCTGAGGTTTTTCGGGGCACATAACATACAGACCGACAACAGAGAGGAAACTATTAACTCCTCATCTTGGCTGTTGTCAGATTCTGCTGTAGCATGAGTTTTGTAGACTGTGTGTCTGAACGATAACCTAGTATTCTGCCCTGGGAGTCCAAGGAATGGGAAGCTCTCTATCATCAGCCTCATATTAAAGTTTAGGACCTCACAAAGAGCAGCTGAAAGGCTTCTAAATACATGGTTTTGAAAAACACTTATCTGCAGTCAGTTCTTAAACTGCATAAGTGGTGCTTATACTAACTAATCCAAGACAAAAATGCTCAGCAGCACAACTCTGCCTTGAGACCCATTCCCAAAAAAGCAGTTTCATTCTGTCTTTAAATAAATTGACTTTTTCATATAGAACCCCAGCTGCTTGGGGCACTGAGACATCCTCACCAACATCCCACTTTCAGACATCAAAGTGCCCATACTCCAACCCCATTCCCCACGTTGTTTCTTCAACTGTTCTGTGCTGGGGTTGTGGTTCACCTGGCATACAACAAGAGAATGCCCTGGCTTCCTCTGCTATGACTCCGTTATTTCCAGCGCTGTGAAGATGAGCATCTCTAACTGAGCTCTTGCATTATAAGGGCAAAGATACTAGGAAACAGTGATGACTGTTCTAAAAGGATGCAAATAAGGTAAGTGTGGCTTGGCTTTTTTGTTTTAAGAGCATCTTTCTTGATAAGGTGGGAAAAAGCCATGTCCAGGTCCATGTTGCAGAATTTCAGTGTATCTGGAGTTGGGTGGCAGTGTTTCTGTTAGTTGACACAAGACTGAAAAGGGGTCAGTGAGCAGAGTAGATCAGTGCCATCTGTTGGGATTTGTGTCAATGAATTCAATGGTTGGCAACCATGTTTGGACACAGTAATTTTTGGAGTGGGTCTAAACCCAATAGAGCAAGGGAGCGCTTGTTGCTGGCGAATATAAACAGTGATGACTGAGAGAATAACAACAACTCTGTCTTGGATAATGAAAACGGCATGGTGGTTTGTAAATGTTTCATTTTCCATTGTCAGGTTAACTTACACTGTCTGTCTTTTTTTCCTTTTTTATTTTAAAGCAGACATGCTGAACCTCATTAAACCTGTTTCTATTTGAAGCATTGTTCTTTTTAATGCTAAGCATAAGCCTCCTCTTAGCAGCTCAAAGGAAATTTCATTTTTCTCATGAGGAACAACATATATTGTTTTAGCTGTTACTTTTTGTTCCGAGCACCATTACAGGAGAAGAAATACCATTGCATTGAACAAACCTATTTTCTCTTGCTTTCTCATGTCCCAGTAAATCATGTGTAGAAGATAAAACCTTTAAACTCAACAGGAAGTAGTTCTTTTAAATTTGGGCTTGGGGACCATTTAGCAAGAGCAAGATAAAATTGGATGGTGTTATTTTGGTCATTGTATATTTGTACCTCCTATGTCTTCTGTGACTGCTTATGCTTCTGATCTTGTAGTGTGTGTGTCTGTGTGTCCTGCTCCTGTGTAAACTGGGAGCTGATTCTCCACATTGGTGTGCTCTCTCCATTATGCTATTCCTGGGTTTCTCATTTTGAGAGAAGGAATGGACAACCCAGAGGATGCCATAGACAACATAGTTTCCTTGCTTGCCTGTCTAGCAGCTGCTAGGTCAGAAGTTCTTCCTGTGCACTTTGAGTTTTGACTTCTACCTTAAGGGTTATGTTGTCTTCTGTCATGTTATCATCTGAGCACTTGTCATGTAAAATGCACTGACAAGTAATGTCCCTAATGGATATCAAGTATTCTGTGATTTTAGTATTGCCACCAGTGTAGAAATGGTGAACTGGAGTGGAGAAGTTAAGAGCTTGATTACACCAGCCAAATTAATTCCACTCCCTCTAGAAATGTGCTGGATAAGGAGCTCCTGGCACACGCTCTCCTTTGGCTCTGTCAGGGAACCTCTGCTGGTGAAACAATGGATGACCTGTTCAAGAAGTCATAGACAGCCAGTGGCACAACTGAGGACAAAACGTTAGGGTGTCTGGCTCTGGGCCTGCAATTGTTTTGTTAAACAATACAACCTCCATAGGGCGGCAGTGTATTCAGCGGAGGAGTAATGAATTGGGGAATGAAGAGAAAAAAGAACTGGGATGTCCAGTGAAGTGATATCTGGGGAGGAGACAGAAAGAAAAGTAATAGAGGAGTAAGGCTCCCCAGTGCTAGAGTGTCTCCTGAACAACTGAACTTCACTGGAATGATAGGCTTTTCCACTGTAAGGGTATAAAATGGCTTTCCTAGAAACAGCTTTCTTAATAGCCACAGTGTAATGGTGGAACAAAATTTAGAGAAGCTAAAGAACCACCCCCAGCCTCTTTATGGTCTGCTCCAAGGGCAGGGATGCAGTTTGGCCTTGACTTCTCTATGAAGCATATAATAATGCATATTTTGAAAATTCCAAAGTGAACACACACGCACACATGCATGTGTGCACACACTTTCATACTTCTTCCCTTAAGGAAGAGTGTAAGAGAACAAATGCATAACAGATGTTGCTTAAGTTACTTAATGGAGCACTGAAAGGTTTGCAGCTAATAAGGCAATGAGAACAGAATAACTTATGTATGACAGAACTAGAAGGAACCCAAAAGATTGAAGTGAACAAGATTAATCCCCTAGAATTAAAGTGATAGAGAGGTTGAGGTCCTGGGGAGAAGAAACAATGGAAAGACAAGGGGTCCTGCAATCATGGGTTAAGAAGTTGAGAGCTGTGGGGCTGCCCTAATCATTTAGTCACTGGGAGAGCTTGTGTAGCTTAATGGTCTATAGAACACAGTTATACAAAATTTCTAGTCTCTATATTATTATATTTTCCACAGCTATGAAAACATAACATGGCTTTCGTTTCTACTCACGGTTTCATAACAAGAAGTTTGCAAAGCATTAGGTCATTTTGTGTGTGACAAGTAGCATTAGCATTCTCGGCTATACCTCTCCAATCAGGTTCTGTTGCATGGTCTGTTGACCCTGGACTTAATTAGGACTAATTAAATCGAGGTCAATGAGGGGTGGTTTTTGACCCTGGGTCAGTTAACAGGTTAATCAGGGCGTGTCTAGTCACCGCCTAGTTAACCCGGCAATTAGTGGGCTGTGATTAATTAGCACACTCACACAGGTTATAAACTGAAACGAATAAACAGTTTATTATAGAAATTACACATATAACAGACACCACAGGTAAGTTTAACAGTTCAAACAACACTACTATAAGGATTAATATTAACTACAACTAAATTCTATTCATATCTAATTAATTAAATGACTTCCATCTAATCTAACAGTTCTTATCACTACAGTATAATTCAGACACAGGCTGTGGGTGGGGAAGGCAAGATTTTATTAAATAGGGAGAAGTTTATTATACTCCGGCCACTGGTCACCGACTCCGGTCTTTATCCTCTCAACACCTGAGCCGTTGCAACTAGTGGCTTACCTTCCACTCCTTTAGGAAAGGGGTGCCCCACCACCAAAACCAATGAAGGATAGAAAAAAATGGAGAAGGTGGGATGGGGTAATACTTACTATGAAGAGGCAGAGGGTTATGTTACGTGCAAAGCACACCCCGAAGGAAAGAAGGCCAGGGACCCAACCCTTTCTACCTCTGTGAGACTTGTATTAGACAAAAAAAATTGAAGGACGGGAGCCCCACAGAACACCAGAGTCTGGAGCAAAATATCTCCACGGCACACTGACAACTCCGCTTCATCGCCTCCCTCACTAACCCCTCACTGTCCCTGAATCACCCTCAGTCACACTTCAAAACACCCGTCTAACACTCCTCAAACAGCCTCATGTTACCCTTCGGATGGGAACTTTTCAAGACCTTGGCCTGGTGTCAATCTGCTTGTTTAACAAGCATATAACAATGTCAATCTAAACTTGGAAAACACAAATTTATTCATCCAATTACTTCGCTTAAACATTATCATACATACTCTCAGTCTGTCCACTCATATCTTCATACGTGTTCTGATTCAGTTTCACAAACTCACTATACAACAACTCAGTCATTTGCATTTTTGGACGTGCTCTTTCAATCATACTATACACATATCCAACTTCCTTTCTCAAGCTACACTCAACAATCAGGATACTTACCTGGCTGGACTTGGATACTTACCTGGCTGGACTGGATACTTACCTGGCTGGACTCATTTGAGTCCCGTTTTTGTTTTTAGGGTGAGTGGTTTTGTTTGTGTTTTTGGGTTGTTCTCCCGCCCTGGCGGGGGGTCGGGCTAGAAGATCTATTAGGTCCCTTCCGACCCTGAAACTATGAAACTATGAAACTATGAATCCCATACATGCCTGAGCAATCATGATCTAGACAATTGGGTGGAGTGCGATATTCAAAACTCCAGTGGCTATGGGGGTCCATCTCATTAATGTTTCCCACCACTGGTGTTTCGCAGTTTCAGCAAAACTGAAAGAGTTCAGTTTGAACTCTCTAACTTTTGGGGGCAGCGAGCAATATCAGAACATCTCACAGGCAGTCCCACAAGCCAGCGGCTGGGACCATTGCCTTAAGTATTGCCTTACAACCTTCAGTTTAGTTCTTTAAATCCTGTTTAATATTTCTTAGGGCTTTGTTACACCTTATGCTGTAAACCAAACAAATGTTAATTGGCTTAGTATTGTTTGACTTAGTGGAGCAGTCACACCTTGAGGCGAAAAACCATCTCTGACTGTTCATCTGCACAGCTGCGACTTGCCACTAGAGGCTTGGTGACCAGGGGCAGAACCAACTCACTGCCCCTGCTGGACAGAGCAAGTACCACAGCTCCAGAGTGCCTGACTGCTGCCCATCACCACCCGGAATGGCTCGTTGCTTAAACTTCAAGGGGCCCAATCCTTTTATTCTCTGGAGCCCACCACCCCTGCCCAGGTTGCTGGCCAGGTGGCCAGGTGCTACCTGAGCTATGAAAAGCTTCAAGACCCTTGGAGCTTAGGCAGTGCCCAATCGGCCAGCCAGCAACCCATCTGGTGGCAGCATGGAGGGGGTAAGCTGCTGGCTGGCCACACTGCCTGAGCTTTAAGGGGCCTGATCCTTTTTTTCTCAGGAGTTTTTCTGCCCTGGAGTGCCACCAGTGTGAGCAGTGAGCTGGTCTGGGCAGTAGCGGGATGCACTGCCACAGCTGGGCACTCCAAGGCTGTGGTGTTCACTCTGCCCAACGTCCCTGCGGGGCAAGGTGCCATGCCTAGCCCTGCTGCACCCTGACTCGGGAGGGGCCACTGCATCCTTGGATGCTGGAGGACTTCAATTTGAGCTAAATAGTTATAGGGAGTTACAGCCACTCCTTAATGGAACAGGAGCCAAATTAGGTGGATTAGAAATAACCCTGACTTGGAGTGGTGTAACTTTAAACTGAATAACAAGTTCTTTAAGTCACTTAAAGATATTAACATGCAGCCAGTTCAGGGGTTAAGAGCTCCAGAAGCTGCCTAAACTTACTGTGTAACAAGGCCCTTAGCCCTGCCTCCAGATCCTACAACCTTTCCTCACAAAGCACACTCAATTAGTAGCTAATGTTATGGGGTGAGTGATGATGCAGTAGGGTTATCCTAACTTGAGGCCATGCAGGCAAAGCTGGGCTCATGCTCCCTTTTTGGGTTAATGACATAGAGCATTTGATAAATATGTGTTGTACCATGGCAGGGTTGCTGCATATTGTTAAGCAAATGCAGTAGATATACAATCATTTGCCATGGAATGGACTATCTCTTCACATCTTGCTTTACAACAACAAACCCTCTATAACAGTTATTATAATAAGGCATCAGCAGCAGTTTGGTCTGAAACATAGTTCATGCTCTTGCATACTACTCCATCCATTTATCCTGTAATTCTTCTGGAACCAATAACTTCAGCATAAGCTCCTCCCTTTCTCCCCTTTGTACAACAGTCCTAAAGAAAAGCATTAAAGCATAGGGAGGGAGTGTGTGTGTGTGTGTGTGTGTGTGTGTGTGTGTGTGTGTGTGTCTTGGGGGGCGGGGAAGAGGAGGAGCAGGAGGAGAGAGGCAGACAAACACACAGAGAGGTTACATAGCAAAACTACTTTGACACTGCTTCCCTTCTCCATTTATCTATTTCCCAATTGAGGTTTTCTTTAGGGCATTTTAACTGCTATTTTTGCTTTACAGGTAACAGTTCTCTGGAAAGTATTATTTACCAACACAGTTTTTTTTCTTTTACTAAGTCTATTTTTCAGGTAAAGATGACCTAGAATGCTAGATCTCTGAGCTGTTCTTCTCCCCATTGGACTGGGAGCTATTCTTAGAGTTTGTCCTTTCCAAAGCCAGTGCTATGTCCAATTCTCTCAGCTGTTTCAGGAAGCCACGATTCGGGAGGACACATCGGTGTTTCACCACTTGCTCTATGGCATTGACGACAGTCATGTTCTTATAGATCATCAGGTAAGCCAGGACCAAGGCAGCTGATCGGCTGCGGCCCATCGCACAATGAACCAAAATCTTATCTGCAGGAGCAAGGAAAAGAAAATGCAGAGAAGATGTAGAGATTTTTAATACTGTGACAGAGATTGCCACTCAAGCTCACAGAATGTTACAGTCATTAATAATGAAGCTTTTGCAAAACTGCTGTAGCTCCTCTGAGTGCATCTTCCTGACCGATGAGTTAATTACTTTGATCTTAGACAGAAGGAGTGAAACACAAGTGCCAGCCATGTACCAGTCCCTGAAAGGTGGTGAGCTTCTGTCCCCTGGGAGGATTGAGGCTCCATTACCAGCAGCCACAGTAGATGACTTAGAGCAGGGCTGTCAAATTACAGGTCATGTACAGGATACAGCCTGCAAGCTCACACCCAGCTGCCACTGTCCTCCACTTCCTGCCATTGCTCCTGCCTTGGTAGCTGGGTTCCTCAGGCTCCCCTGCCTTCGTCTGGCTTCTACTTCCTGCCCCCACTGCTGAAGGTGGGGCAGGGTGACGCAGCGGGTGGTCACTGGAGTGCCCGTGCTGTGTGCATGGCGGGGGAGAGGCCTGGGTTGCTCATGCTGCACTCGAGGAATGCAGCAATTGGACTGCCCACACTGCAAATGGATGCATGGTCATGGAGGGATGTGTGTACAGCAGGGGGGTTTCCTGTGTTGTGAGGAAGGAGGGGAGGGATGGGGGGGATCCAAGTTATTCACGCAGCATGTGCAATTAAGAGAGGAGGAGGAAGCCAGGCTGCACATGCTGTGTGCACAGTGGAGAGGAGGTTGCACTGAGGACTCTTTGGAGCAGGGGATGTATCTTACCCCATGGAAGTATAGCACCTGGTACAAAACTGTACTGGCCTCTAATAAAACCACGTAGGCACTGCTGTATCACACAGAGGTGGAACCTTCCTCTCCATTTACAGCAGCCAAAATGGGGCGAGGAGAGAAGAAGGAGAGTGTGTAGGCTTGGGCAGGGTAGAATCCTTTGAAAGGTGACTGAACCGAATGCAAAGGATTCTGGGAAACAAAATCCCCTGAAGGGAAAATCTGTATCATGGTAGGAAAAAGGTGAAGTACCAACACAAGCATTCTCTGGAGTTGTCTCTACTTCATCCTGCTGTGGTCAGTTACACCAGAAATGTCATTTAAAGGCCACAGGTATTTTTTCTTTGTTAACTATGTCCAGTAAGAAATGCCTGGAGCCAGGCTTGATTCCTAGCAATTAACTCCTTGATGCTGTAAGTGGAGGGGAGGGTTTCTTGGCATGAGTATAACTGCTACATAAGGGACACATCAAGAACTGCCAATGCTGAGGGGATTAATGGTCACAGTCTGCATCTTAATCCCAGCAGATAGTTTGAGGCATCTTGGCAAATTTCCAGTCTCGTTGATAACTGAAGTGCCTCTTCCTCTCATGGAAAATGTTAATCCTTTCCATGATTACACTTAATATTTGAAACAGATGAAAACTTGCATTCGCTCAGTGCTTTTCTTGTCTCACTACAGCTTTCCAGTTTGTAAGTGGATCAGAGCTTAGAGCTCAGATACTGGTAAATGATTCGCAAGAGGGCAAGGCTGGAGAATAAACGTTTTGCTTGGGTGAGTGGGAGACCAAAATGAAACTGCTGGCCTTGAGCACAAAGAAGAAAAGCCTAAAAATTATTATTATCTATAATAGAAGTTCATGCCATTCCCTGGTGGGTTTCTTAGGACATAAAGATGGAAGCCCTGACTTTTGCCTGGAGTATTAAAGATCTTTGAGGCATGGGGTTGTTTTGTTGTCCAGGGCTAAATTTGTAACTCCAGGTCCTGCCATCTCTGAGTTACTTGATTGTTTGGTCAAGTGGTGTGGGTGCTCTATTTGTCAGGAATACCAGCAATCAGCCTCATTCAGTGCGACTGGGCAGCAGAGGCATATCAGGCAAACTAATGCCTACATGCTGCCTGAAAAGATTAAATAGAGCCCCGTTTCCTCCTTCAGCTAATCTGTGCCAAAGGATTCAGGTCAGTAGCATAACAAAGGGTGGGTGGCCCACCCCAGGTATAGATCCTAGCTGTTCGTCTGTTGTAGGCTGCTCTGCACATGCTTCTGCTGTGCTTGCTGCATTACTCCTGCATGATTGGCTTCTGGTTCCTGATGTTACCCCTGGAACTTAACACTCAGTTCCTCACTTGGTTTCTACCTGCCATTTCTTGTGATCCTGGCTCCCTGACTCCTTCCAGCAAACCCTGGGTCTGGATGGCTTCTGATTCTCAGCCCTAACAACTGGTTGTGTTGTGGGCTGTCTGTGGTACCTAGAGGGTCCCCATCATCACAGTATCTGAGCACCTCACAGTCTTTAATGCACCTATTTTTTCAGTATGTCCCTTTTTGCATGCATCAGGATGTCAAGAAATAAATTACTTGCCCAAAGTCGCACAGGAAGTCTGGGAGAGCAGAAAACCTAAGTCTTCCAAGTCCCAAGCCAGTGCCCTAACTGATGGGCAATACTTTTTCTCCACTGTGAGAACCTATGCTCTAAACTATGCCCTGGGAAAGATGACCCTGACATCTTCAATGTCTTCATCAGTGACTTGGATGAGGGAGTGAAGTGTACTCTGTCCAAGTTTGCTAATGATACAAAACTATGGGGAGAAGTGGACACACCGGAGGGCAGGGAACAACTACAGACAGAGCTGGACAGGTTGGACAAATGGGCAGAAAACAACAGAATGCAATTTAACCAGGAGAAGTAGAAAGTGCTGCACCTAGGGAGGAAAAATGTCCAGCACACCTACTGCCTAGGAAATGACCTGCTAGGCAGCACAGAAGTGGAAAGGGATCTCGGAGTCCTAGTGGACTCCAAGATGAACATGAGTCGTCAGTGTGACGAAGTCATCAGTAAAGCTAACTGCACTTTATCATGCATCAGCAGATGCATGACAAACCGATCCAAGGAGGTGATACTTCCCCTCTATTGGGCACTGGTCAGACCGCAGTTGGAATACTACGTGCAGTTTTGAGCACCACACTTCGAGAGATGTGGATAACCTGGAGAGGGTCCAGAGAAGGGCCACTCGTATGGTTAAGGGCTTGCAGGCCAAGCCCTACGAGGAAAGACTAGGGCACCTGGACCTCTTCAGCCTCCGTAAGAGAAGGTTGAGAGGCGACCTTGTGGCTGCCTATAAGTTCATCACGGGGGCACAGAAGGGAATTGGGGAGGCTTTACTTACCAAAGCGCCCCTGGGGGGTCACAAGAAATAATGGCCATAAGCTAGCAGAGAGCAGATTTAGATTGGGCATTAGGAAGAACTTCTTCACAGTAAGAGTGGTCAAAATCTGGAACAGGATCCCAAGGGAGGTGGTGCTGTCCCCTACCCTGGGGGTCTTCAAGAGGAGGTTAGATGGGCATCTGGCTGGGGTCATCTGAACCCATCCCTCTTTCTGGCTGGGGTCATCTGACCCCAGCACACTTTCCTGCCTATGCAGGGGGTCAGACTCGATGATGTATTGAGGTCCCTTCCAACCCTAACATCTATGAATCTATCTTGTTCTGGGGATCCTTTAAGTGGTCATTTGCTATACTAGATAGTGCCCAGACAGATTGGAACAAAGGCTGACTTTTGGGGCTTTTTTCTCTTGCATATATTTTCTTCGAGTCTGGAGCTGGCTGCTTTGGGATTGCCTTTCCTCTCTGACAATCATGCTTCATTGTTTGTTGTTCAGACAAGTAAAAATGCCTATTCAAATACTTCTGAAACTGTTGAAATGCTTTAAAATGGCCACCCACATCTGTTTATGAGGACATGGATGTGTGGCTTAATGGCAACATACTTGTCTATTGTACGAGTAGGAAACATTCTGTGCACTTTATTTTTGCTACATGAGCATCCCAGATCCTCATTTCATTCTTCTATGGTTTTGAAAGGCATTAGTTAGCTTCATGTCACTCGCATACCTATGAAGAACACCCAGTTTTCTGCCCTGTTATCAAAATGACTATAAAGGCAGCAGGCAAAAGCACAGATATGTAAAGAGGTGCAGTTGCTATGCTTTTAGTCACTATTGACTTCACAGGTACTGTTACTAAGTTCATCCATCCAGTCCCCCAGCTGAGGCTGTTGCATTACTACATGGATGTTTGGTCAAGCCTCAAAGCTCCTTTGTGCTTTGATGCAGCCCAGAAATCAAAAGCTTTAAAGCTCGCACCTTGCAGACTTCACATAATGCCAGCCCCCTTTCCTGGCAATTTTATCAGTATGAGAACGATCTCTGCACTTTGCAGTGTATGACACCTTAATGTGTATTTAATAGTCTGACCCTATGCTGCCAGAAGGAGTGTAACTGAAAGGGTGGAGGAGTGGGTTTCTTAGTTCTGTTACTTTGGTCCAACAATATCTCTAGGGAGGCAGTAAAGAAACAAATGGTCAAGTGCTTTCAGCTACCCAGAAGCACCATGTTGTCCCAGAAGCAGTTATTGGGGCATAGTCTTGCAAATTTTAGATGGTTGCCTCCAGAAATAGACTTCAGGTCTTTCCAAGAATGTAACTGTTAAAGCCTTGTGCGTTGTTAGACCTCTGGCTTTAAAACTGAGCTGGTTTATCCTCTTCTTGCCTAGCCAGAGGTACGTTCTATAGCTTTGGACTGTTCTTGTTGAAAACTTAAAATCATAAAGGCTTGGCTGGTTACTGGGGTTAAGCCAGGGATCCAGCAGTAGCTAAGCTAAACCGCCAAGAACAGAAGCTGACAGGAGGTTAGTAACTTGATATGTGACCCTCTGATATTTGGGGCTTTGTAGGTCAGCAGGAGAATCTTAAGTTTCGCTGCTGGCTCCTGGTAAAATATCCTGTTGAGATTCTCTCTCTTTTTTTCTTCTCTTAAATAAGAACAGGAGTAATATGCTGAAAGCCAGTGTGCGGTCTGGGCTGTGGTGCTTAGTGTCAGTGTAAAGCCCTCAGATAGAACGCTGCTGGAGGTCACAAATAATGAATTGTAGTAATCAAGCTGGGAAATTACAAAGGCTTTAACTAATGTTTCCCGATCTTGGCTGTCAAAGTGATTTCAGTCTCCCACTGCTTGGAAGATGGCAAAAATAAATCCCTGTTAAAGCTTGAAGATGATCTGATGGCAAGGTACTTAAGGAGGCTTTTATATTTATATGGAGGGAATCTAACACTTTAATGTGAACAGCTCTGAAGTGACAGCTTTGGAGACTGGAGTACTGGACCTACAGGGCAGGGATAGCATTGGTGGTAGCAGTGCCAACTTCCTGAGGCTCCCCTCTAATGCTCCACAAGTGTAACTTAATAGGGTTCACCTCTAGGTCAAGTTCAGTGACCTGTTCAGTGGCCCACTCACTTTCTTCTGACACTGTTCAAATGGGGCAAATGCATCCTGCTTGTGATAAGGCAGTGGCACTCTGTTAAATTGGTCTTGGGAGGACAAGGACTCAGGGGTGGCTGGTTATGTCTGAATGAGTGGCACAGTACTAGAAGAATCTGAATCCCGTTACTAACACTAACTTCCTTGAAATTGTAACTTCATTAGTGTTTGTTTGTCCTGCACCAATTGTCCTTGATTTCTGTGCCTGTTTCATTCCCTGGCTATCCAGTACTTTGCATCGTATTCATGTCTACTCAGATCATTTGTAGCAAACCTGGCATTTTTGCCCATTGCTGCATCCTTACTTGTCTCATCCTGGAGTGCATTATTGATGAATTCAGCAGCTGAATAGAAGAATGGGCTGAGATTGAAGCTGGGGAGATCATCTGCTTCTACCCCATGGTACTCGATGGCCATGTCTCTGTAGTACTCTGGTCCAGTGTCCACGTTCCATCGCCCATGGGCTGCGTTGAGGATGTGGGTGAAGCCAGCTTTCTCAAGGCTATAGCGATCTAAGGCAGTTTTCCTATGTAAGCAAAAGCCATGTCAGGTATGTGAAAGGGCATCTTTCATGAAGCAACAGAAGTTTCTTTCTTACTTTGCAAGTGACAAATCACAACAATGTTGATGATACTTTAAAAGAGGATCATTTGCAAATGCTAACTTTTACAATGTTGCCATTTAAGAAGGAGAAGGATCTTGTGCCGTTATCAAATATCTTCCCAAGACACAATAGCACTGTTATCCTTCTGGAATCCTTCCAGTGTGGGCATTTTTTTTATTCTACCTATTTTAGAGATGGAGAAACTTGAATTACAGTGGTTGAGTTGTCCAAGGTCCCAAAGTGAGTCAGTGGCAGAGCTAGGTCTAGCCATTATTAATCTTGCTCTCCCCACTTCTGCTTTGAGGGTGGAAACACTGCCTCCCAGTAATATAATTTGGGGTTGTGGGGAGAACAGGACACCAACCCTGGGTGCTGACTTAAAGGGGGTGCCACTATGGGCCCCTCCCCTGAAGAGTCTTTGGCATGGCAGGTACAGCTCTGTGCTGCCCAGCCATAGGAGCTGGGCAGGTGTAGACCCCATACCCAGTAGTGGAATGGCACTCCCTGGGAGGCTTTGTCATGGGAGGCACAGCCCTGCACCTGGCAGAATAGGTGGAGAGTGTGGAGCACCAAGAGGGGCCCCAGGACCAGAAGCCTGCACTGCTGCCTGTTTCTCAGCAGCAAGCCAGGAGAGCCCCATCAGGCAAGATGTTGCTGCCTCCCCTCCCCCACCCACAGCCCATCCCCTCCTCATAGTGATCATCGTAATACCCTCACTCTGTGGCGAGTAAGAATTTGGATTGTAGACTTGTCTTTACCACCTGGATCATAGAGTTGTGTTTAACACCTCTGAGTTCTTTGTCCTTTACATTTAGCAGCAGGTCACGTTTTCCTCTAGTCCCTCTGGTGGAGAGGTCCTGTAAGACTTCCCCTTGTGCCAATAGATCATACAAGACTGGTTAAATGTGTTGTCTTAAAATGAGAGATACTTGGAGGTCATATATCTATCTGCCTTTGATAAGGACCATAATCTGTTGAATGAAGTAAAATGATGCAGTGCCTATCCCGTGTCCTGTCTTTCCCCTAAAGGAAAATGAAAATGCTTCCCTGGACAAGGGGTGGAGGGTGGTTCTGTTGGGATAAGATGAAACAAACAATAATTGAGATTTTCAGTGTAGTAAGACCTGGCAAAGTTATCCTTTTCCCCCCTGTGATTGAGATGCTACTGAGGGTAGCACAGGTGGCTACCGTCCCTTCAGAGAAGCCTACTGAGTGCAGAAATCTGCTACTGTGGTAGTGCTTAGGAGCTTCTGTCATGGACTGGGACCTCATGGTGCTATGTACTGTATAAGCAGATCAAACAGGATGTCCATCCTCCAAAACAGCTTACCATCTAAGACAAGAGGCAACTGACAGGTATGGAGGGACAGATAGGGGAGTTGCTGTAGGTCAGCAAAATATAGCTTGTCTTCTTAAGATGAGTTCTCTACCCTTCCTCCTAATTCTGTTTGTTGGAAGATACAGGGGAGAGGAAATTCTAGTTGCACCTATGCCTGGTTCTGTGGTACCATTGAACTCAGACTAGTCAGAAACAAATCTGGAATGACTTGAGCCACAACCCTGTAGAAAAAAGTTGACATCACATCCAGCACAGTGCCCTGAGCCTGAACATTTAGTTCTTCTGAGGTAAATGCCATTTTTTTCATGCATAACATGTTCCAGAACATAATATGAAACTTGTTTTTGAAAGGTAGAATGAAGAAAAAAGATTTTTCTAAAATTTTAGCTGAGGGACAGCTCAGGGGTCTTTTAAAATCAGGGAGAGTGCTTAATTTTCAGGTGACTCGCCCTCCTTTTCCTGCTCAACTAAAACTGAAACTCTAGGTGCTGCTGAAGACTGGTGTCCATGTGTGGCGCTCTGATTTTAAAAATAGCTGAAGAGTCTTAGGGCTATGAAATAAGAGAAGGGAGACCAGGAGCAGCTAGCAGACAGCAAATTACCAAAAGAAAAGTTAGCTTGATTAGTGGAACATCAAGACAGTTAAAAAGGAGAGATGGCCATTGTGGAGTGAAAAAAAATGAGCCATTAAGTCAATTGGCTTCCTCAGCTGCCTGAGTAGTAATGCCACAACTGCTGCACTGAGAGGCAGGAATCAAAGCAGAGTGCTTCTATTCTGGGGAGAACATCAGCTTCTCCATTTTGGAGGGCTGATTTTGAGGAACAAGGTGCCTCTTGTCTTCAAGAAAATAGGGCATTTCTTCTGCCACAGATTCCATTCTGGACCTGAGCAATGTCTCAGTAAATGAGAATTTTCTGATGAAGACCATAATTAGAAAAAAATGGTTGATCAGTTCTTTTGTCTACTTAATAGGCGTGAGCTCAGTGAACAACAGAATATGCAACAGTTATTGGAAGAAATTTTGAAGGTGGCACTCAAAACCTTTTTTTTTTTTTTGCCTTCTTCCCCCAGAAGGAAATACTCTTCCCCTTGAGCTTCCTGTCAAATACTTTCTAATGACTCCAGAGCTATTCACTTCAGGAGCTGTCTGGATGTGTTATTGAGTACAGTAAAAGTTGCACAGCAGACTGATACTTTAAAAAAGATTAAATATTTTCCTGGAGAGAAGGCAGGGGGCTAGTGAATTAATCCACTCACTTTCTGCTTGAGGTGAAACACAGATTTTTCTTTCAAGTTTTGTTTTGCTTTTTTTTTGCCCTCCCAAACAGGGGTGATGATGGGGGAATCTATTTTCTATTCCTCAGACATGGCCCAAAGCATGTATACAGAAAACAATGAAAGACTGATGCTTTCAGGTCATAGATTTGTGCTCAATTAGAACCCCTGCAAGTGGAATCCTACTTGCTGAATAGCAAGTAGGACCACATTGTAGCTAGGGTCAATGGAAAAATAAAGATTAACTGTCTGTGAAAAGGAAGTTCTGATGGACCGTAAGTGATGCCAAATTTGGATTCCGCAAATGCAGCTCAATCTAATAAATAGCAGTTGGATTAAATGATGTTTTTGTTGTCTTGAACAAGGACAATGTCAAACAATAGGTCACATGACAGACATATTAGCGTCTGACAGTGCAACATTCATCTGGAATCCAATTTTCCTATTTCCTTGATTGAGTTCTCAGGAGATTGTCAGAAATAAATGCCTTAGAACCAGACACTGTATCAAGAGACAGCCTTGATTATAATGTATTGCATATCTTTGATGCCTCCTATTTAAATGTGCAGTGGCTTTAATATTTACTACGCACTCAGGAGTCAGGTCTGTCAGGAAGAAAATGCAATGCCTTTTATTGACTGCATAAGCACTCTGCTCAAGTCAGTCTGCTCAGGCTCCTGGAAACATCTAGTGCTCCCTGGGCAAAATCATGAGTTAAAATGGGCCTTACCATAGTTGCTCTAGCAAGAGAATCAGACCATTATAGCTGCATAATCACTTCCATGCTGCCCATCCTGACTGTGTAAATTAAATCTCCCAGGGCTCTTCAGGCTGAGGCTATAGTCTGTCTTTTGGAGAAGCCTGTCAGTCCACCTTTTTGTCTGAGATCACCTATATGACTCTCTGGGCAGTGAAAGGGGTACCCCCCAGCTCCTGTTGCTGTCTGTCTTATGCATTATCTTTCGTGCCTTGGACCAAGCTGTTGTTCTGTACTGTGTTTATTGTGGGGGTGTGTGTGTGTAAGCATTTTATCAGTTCTAATCAGTTTAGCTGAGTATCCCTGGGCGCGTCTACCCGAGACGCTAAATGCGCAGTAGACTAATTCTACTCTGCATTAGCACGTTATGGCAGAAGCTGTGCTATTGCACTAATGTGCAATAGAATTCGACTACTGCACATTAGCATCACTAAAAAAGCATGTGTCAGCACTACTGTGCAGTAGCACCACTTACTGCACATTCAATTAGTACCTGTTATTACAGGTACGAAACTTAATGAGCAGTACATACAGCACATGAATGCACATGTAGACATGCCCCCTGTGTCCTAAGCAGGAGACTGGATGAAAAGAAGTAATCCTTCTAAGACACTGTGGCAAAGGGCATGTTGCAAGTGCCTAGAACAAAGTAATTACATCTCTAATTGTGATTATTCCTTCTGTGAATAAAATTATAGGCAAGTGACTCTATAGAGATATATGAGGACACTCTAGTCCATCATCTGCCATGTGAAGCATTACTCACTGTAATATACAAAGCACTAACAAGTACAGCCTTATTTTAAGTAGTCTTTTCCTCTCTCCTTCCTTTTGATGTAGCCCCTCTAGCAAACCAAACAGAATTGTCATCCACACCATGCTTTTATATCCAGGGTGGGCAATTATTTTGGCTGGAGGACCACTTAATGAGTTTTGGTGAGCTGTCGGTAGCCCTGCCCTTTGACAGGTGCCCTGCCCCCTCAGCCACCACCTTGGGACCAGAAGTCCTGCCCCCTAACTTCTGGCCTTTGCCATTGAAAGTACTCCTGGGGGTGGAGGGCCTTGATGTTTTGACACTGGAAAAAAACCAAATTGTATACTAAAAGCCAAATATCTACTATAACACGTTTTAATTTGCAGTTTCCTAAAACTGGATCCTTTTTTCCCTTTTTATTGAATTCTATTGAACTAAAAATCTTTCAAGCTTAAGTGCCCAAATTTAAGCACTCAAAGCCCTATTTTAGCCAAAAGGACCAGAATTCAGCATTCCTCTGCAGTGTGTACTTAGGTTGTATTAAGCATGTACTTAGTTGAACTGGGCCCTTGATAACTGCCCTGCCTTTAAGTGGTGCTGAGCACCTACAGCCCCAGTTGTGAGCTCTCTGCAAGCAAGGCCATTTATGGTACTTAGATGTCTAATATAGATTTTGGTACCTTGTTTTAGTCTGGAAGCATAGGCTTTAATTTCAATAGAAGGTTTCCCCTAAGATTTTTAGTAGATGGTGGCCTTGTTCCTTCCAGAGTGGATCATGTCATTATTGTGGAATATA